GGACAGTTAAGGCTCCAGGCTCCTGGGAGCCCGCCTGGCTCCCTCTCAGATGTCCCTGGGCCTGAAGGGGGACTCCTCTCTCTGGGTGGAAGCTGAAGGGTTGCAGCCAAAGTGGAAGAGTCAGGGGAGGGGCCAGTGGGTGGGAAGGGCTGCCCTGCCGAGTGCCCAGAGGTCCACTCCTCACAGCCCAGATTGGGGTCTTTGGAAACTGGGCCTCTGAGGCTGTGGTGGGCCTGCTCCTCAGTTGGGAAGCACCAAGACACTCACAGAACAAGTCCTGGCTTGGCACGGGCCAGGGGCCCATTGATGGGCATAAGCCTGGCTGTTCTGGAGTGTCACGGAGTCTCGGTTGTTTGCCTTGGAGGAAGAACAGGTCTGATCTGTTTTAGGGACCCTTCTGGGCACCCTCCTGTAGCCCAGCTCAGCCCACAAGGCCCCACGTCGGGTGCTGGGGCTGGCAAGGCAGCAGTTGCATGGGCTCCCTCCTGGGACGACGGCTGGTCCCCCCACCCTCCCCCGACCAGGGAGTGAGCACAGGCAGAGACCCAGGTCCTGGGCATCCTCACTCGCCAGGGCAGCTGGGAGGACTGTGCTGGGACAGTGCCACCCCAGTTTGGGATACAGGACATCAAGTTCCCCCCCGACAGCCACAGATGGGCCTGGGGCTTAGGGGTGGACTGTGGGGACAGTGGTGATGAGGAAAGCACCCGGAGGGACAGGGCTCAGCCAGGGCTCAGCCAGGGCTCAGGAGGCCTGACCTTGCTTGGCCATTTGTGCCAGGTGGAGGCTGAGCCAGGGCGGAGTCCAGCGCAGGAGACCCTGCCCCAGGATCACAGGTAAGGCCACCGAGGCTGGGACCCCTGGGGCAGGGCCCTGAGCTGAGGGCGTGCAGGTTGGGACAGTGGTGGCAGGCAGAGGTGGGTGAGATGGCAGCAGGGCCGTCACCAGCAGGTGAACTGAGTCACTCCGTGACGGGAGAGAGCAGAGCACGCGCTGGACCTGCCCCCGCAGCTGCTCCGACCCTTGCCAGCCCCCTGCCCAGCCCTGGAGACCACCCACAGGACACGCTAGGGGTGGCCCTCCACGGCCTCAGGTTTGCTCTGTCTGTGAAAAGGTGGAGTCCTGGGCTTTAGGGGTGGCCTCCACGGCCTCAGGTTTGCTCTGTCTGTGAAAAGGTGGAGTCCTGGGCTTTAGGGGTAGAGCATTCTCCTCTGAGGGGAGAGAGGAAGCTCCCGCAGCCCGAGCGGTCTGCTGGGGTCTCGTGTCCTGGCCACCCTGTCCTGGGACCCTGTGGGCAGGACCCCTCTGCGTTTGCCCATCGAAGCCTGAGAGACCTCCCTGCTTCTGCGTGGCTGCCCCCCCCCCTGGTCCAGGGCTTTGTCACCTTG